GTTACTGTGGATGTTAAAGGGGGAAATCTGGGGTGGGTGCTAAGGGGTGTTGGAGGGTGGCTGTGCACCCAGGCATCTCAAGTCCAGCCAATCCCAGCTGTCAGAGCCCAGCTAGATCTGCCACGGGCACTGAACAGTGCCTGTTGGGGTGGCAGCACCTCCCAAGGAGCCTCTGTTCCCTTCATGGGGTGTCACCATCTCTGCAGTTCCCCAGGTCGATTTCCAAGCTTGCAAAGGCTGTGCTCACATCTGTTCGCTTTCAGCTGCCCACAGATGTCACGAAGCTTGTAACATTGAGACAATATATTCAGATAAACTTCTTTTATAAACCAGTTAAACTAGATAAACCTCAGCCAGCATTTGAATACAGATTTGTGCTGTGAAGTAGAGTCAGAACTACCCCACTGTACGAATTCTCTAGATTTTAGAAGGGTACCCTGGAATGCACAATCCCGATGCAATGAGCTGAGGGCTCTCAGCCTCAGGGAGTTTCCTGCTGACCCTTGGGGAGAATCCCGGACTGCTGACCCACAGCTCTGAGGAGTGACTCCACTGCCCCCAGCGTGGCTCCTTCTGAGCCCATGGCATCTGATCTGTGCTAGGACAGAGTCACATTAACCTTCCCTGACTGGGGCTCTCACCTTCTGCCCCACCACAACCACAGGGGCCACTCAGGCTGGAGCCACACATGACCGAGGAGGGTGGAAAGTCACTGGCCAGAGGGGCTGAGATGGATACTCCTGCCACAGCCAATTGGTTTAGGTTTGTCATAAACACCAGAGAGGCAGAGGCTGGCTTAGTGGGTTGATCCTCTGCCAGGCAATGGGTGGAAGAGGATGCAGTATGGACACAGCTCCTGGCCTGGGGTGGGGCAAGATGCAGTGGTGGGGAAGAAACTCCTCCAGCTGCTGGGGATGGGGAAACTGGAGTGATGCCTGCAAGGGGAGCAGGCTGAGACTGGTTTGCAAAAGCCAAACTATCCTGCTCCTGTCTCTGTTCCTATTTATTTACTATAGCTGGCAATGGCCATGATGTCCTCAGACTGCTGGAGGCACAACCAAAACCTTGCCAGTGCCTCAGCAAAGGAAGATTTACAAGTCCCTGTGTTGAAGAGCACTGAACCAACAGAGCTGCTCATGCAGGGGATTAGCTGGCTCATTGGAGGATGAGAAAGTAGGACACCTGCCTGTCAGGTGACCTCCCCAGAGCCAAACAGCCCAGTACTCCACATGCTCTGCCTCCCAAAACAACAGATGTCCAGGATACATTAAGGCAGTAGATGGATTTTTCAGATCTGGCAGCCAAAGAGCCAAGTGTGTATGCCAAGTCGAGAGAGGCCAGTGTTGTTGCAAGGATAAGGAATTTTCACAAACTTGGACCATGGAAAGAAACATTTTCCATCTTTCAGTTACTTTATTGGTGATTTTTAGGTCAATCTCTAGAAGAAGCATAGGGGGAAATTTAAATGTTTCAGCCAATTTGATCTCAGAAACATTGATGCAGTGCAGGCCTCTCAGTGTATGTAAATCCACCACAACTCTGCCAAATGGGAGCTGTTGGTAACCAGAGCTCAGACCTGCCCCAGGCACGGCTGCTGCTGTGTCCCCATTCGGGCTCTCCCGGCTTTGTGCTGGCTCCCTGTGCTGCCCAGCAGCCTCAGCCCCTCCCGACACCTGAGCCAGGAGCAGGGAGCCACCAGTGCCAGGTGAGCCTGGCCAGCGGCACCTGCAAACGCCAACCCAAAGCCACGGTGCTGCAGAGGGAACCACGGTCTCCAGCTCTCATCCCAGAGGGCCGCACGCATGAGCAGCCAGCGATGGAGAGAGAGCGGGCTCAGGGAGAGCAGAAGCTGCTCTGGAGCAATGTCACGGCATCTCTTGCTGATGGTCCCAGTGGTGTTGGTGCCGCCTTGTCCCGTGGCAAGGGGTGACATGGGAGCCTCCCGCTACGGGCTGGCCGTGGCAGCGACATAATGCCCATGCACATTCCCTGGAAAACTCTTCCAGCCTTCTAGAGGTGGGACTGAGGAATGTCGGATCCAGCTCCCTGGAGGCTTGGCCCGGAACGCGAACCCACCGCCTGCGTGGGTCAGGGCGAACGGGAGCTCGGGCCATGGAGCGGCCCCGGCCGGAGCCGTGCCCGATCCCGGGTGGTGGTGCTGGCTGTCCCCGCAGCACCCGGGACAAGGCCGGGCTACCGTGCCGGCCCCACGGGCGGAGCGGCCCGGAGCGCCCCCGGCCCCGGGG